TTTTTTTTTTTTTTTTTTTTTTTTTTTTTTTTTTTTTTTTTTTTTTTTTTTTGCTTTCTCTTGGGACCATTCACCTCCCACTGAGTTCCCTCATCCAGCCTTGATATGAGCTTTTCTTTTTTGTATTTATTTTGTTTTATTTTTTACCTAGTCTTATTGCAACTTGTTATGACATATTCAGTTGATATTCCTGGCCTGCTCTTTTCTGAAGAGAAACAGAAAAGTGGATCTGGGGGAGAGGATATTTGTGGAGGAAACTGGGAGGAGTGGAAGGAGGGAAAACTTTGGTTAGAAAGTACTGTATGAGAGAAGAACAAATAAAAGAAAGACAAAAAGACAGGACACACTTGGTTCCAAGGCCAAGCATACTCCCAGTCTATAATCTAAGCCTGGGCCTCAGCACACTGAACTCACCTGTAGAAAGTCGTATAGTCCATTGTTGAGTGGCAGGTCTGAAACTCCCAGGACTTGAGTTTCTGGCATTCTCGATGGGCTCGGAGCTTCACCTTCACTGTGCCTTGGCACAGCTCTGGCACTGGTTTTCTTTGTGGCCTGTTGCAGAATTCGTTGGACTCCACCCTCCACGACTCAGCAAAGTCATCCACGTCGAACTTGAAGTTTCCGTCTCCGCCAATCAGGTCATCGCGTTTATGCCCATTGTAGTTGCCACAGAGACCACAGAGCTTGCCCTTGAGATAGGGGGCAGCCATGACCTCCACAAAACTGTCTCCATCCCAGGATATCTCCAGACCTAGAGGACAAGAGGACAGAAGGATCACCCACTGCAGAACACAACAACAGTTCCCAAATGTATGCATCTTTCTCAGTTCGCTACCTTCAAACCAGCCTTCAGTGAGCAACCGTGACTACTGTCTCAACCCTTAATGGCCTTTAATCTCAATCCACATTTGATCACATTCGTTCTTAAATAAATTAAATAAATGATTTTATTTAGAGAGCTTAGAATTTATCAGCTATATAAAATTTCCCTTTGTGATATCTTCTGTAATGTCTGACTTCCATTGAAAACTACTATCACTATAGTATGCTAGAGTTTATTATTTTTAATTTTTCCTAAAGCAGTTGTGTTTTTCCAAATTGTGTCCTTGCTTCTGCAATGATGACAATAATATGAAAACAACAAAGAAATAAGCATAGTACCCCTAATGTCTTCTTCATGTTGTTATCCAAATACTCTCCTATGTACCTATTTCTTTAAATACTCTCCTATGTACCTATTCCTTTAAATACTCTCCTATGTACCTATTCCTTTAAATACTCTCTTATGTACCTATTCCTTTAAATATCAAGGGATATTTATAAACTGTCTAATAATAAGGAGAATATTAAAAGAACACATATATAAGCTGTGCCTGTATATTCAGAAGATGATACTTGAATCCTTGAAAGTATTCACTCATTATGTGTAGACTCCTGAGACACAGGCCACCAACAGACATTTCCTGGAGGTCAATGGCTGGGGCCTTTTACTCCAGTGCCTCCATCCTGGGATGCGTACAGTATCTGAGGAGGTACTGCAGACCACCAGGATGTGGGCAAAATTTCTTCTTGTATATCTACCATCAGACCAGTGCTTCCTTTCTCGCTCACAGTCTTCACTCCAGAGGACAAAGAACACCCTTCTTGTTTTGCTGAACTGAGTAAAGGGTTCGAAGATTTGTATGAAAACATGGAACCAGAAATGCTAGGCTAGGTTTTGAGGACATCTCTAGCCAATGACATCTCTGAACAGTGAACTTCTAAGACACATGTAGGAGAGTCGGGCTATATTATAGTCGCATGGTACAGGTAAGTCTGGCTAGGCAGTCAAGAAGAAATTCCCCGAAATCCATCCTGATACTGTGTGTGAAGCTACTGCCCTCAAGAGAAAAGAGAATTTTGTGTGAAAAGCCATTAAAGATTTGGCATAAAGAAAATGACTAACATTTTCTACTTTTCTAAGTGCCCAGTGGCACCATCTCGCCTGACTAATCTCTAGCAGGGCCTGAGCTCCATGGTGACTGCTGAAAAGCCACCATAACATGAACTTCCGGGAACCTCAACAACACATTTGTGTGATGTCTGTCCTGGACATCTTCATCATTGTTGCTGTCTGCTAAGAGCAGCAGTCTCAGAGGAAGCCTTTCATACAGGAGGGTCCCTGCCCCCTCCTGATTTTCTCATGTATAGACCCTTGCACTCCTAATAAAACTAGTCTTTCATTTTGCTTGTCCTGAGCCTCTGGAAAGAGAAGAAATGACTTCCCCCCTAAAATCTACTGACTTCGTTCCCAAATTGCCAACTAGGCAGACAAGCAAATGTTTGCAGATGAGATGAGGGTGAATCTGCGGGAGGAAAAGAAAGGAAGGGAGGGAAGAAGAGAGGGAAGGAAGGAGAGAAGGAAAAAAGGAAGCAAGCTAGCTAGGTAGATGGAGGGAAGAAGAAATGGTCTTTCACAAGGCAATGCCTTCAGGGTACCAGAGGAGACATGAGAAAGAGATCCGGAGGACAAATCGTACGCCAGAATTTCCTAGGTATGAACTGCTCACAGGGGAAAGAAGACCAGCCAAATGGTTTTTACATGAGGAAGCCATGCAGATGCCACAAGATAGAGTTACTCTATGGAGAGGTATTGGCAAAAATCAATCAGTGGCCCCAAACTGAGATTCGTAAAGGAAAAACAAAAATGAACAACAAACAACAACAACAAAAACCCAAGGAAACCACTGTGCACTAAATGGAAGGAATAGAGCATTCTAAATCCAAGGCAAATAGTTGAATAGCTTCTTGGTTAAGAGAACAGACTAAGTTCAGAAAAGCAACTTAATAGATTTAGAAAAGGAAGAATTAAAGGAGGTCATAGACAAAGTGTCTCAGGAGAAATTTGGTGAATATGAACAGTGATGGCACTAAGCAGAGAGAAGGGACATAGGACCGGGACAACCACACTGCTCCTGGCATGTGGTACTGTGTAACACAGTGCCAACCATGAGAGCCATAGCTCTTCTACAACACCATGTCCATGTCTCTACACTCATCTGAATTCCTGGCTCCCAGAATGCACACTGTAAATGAAGGCATCAACTCTGGGATGCTAATCCATTGACTCTGTAAAGCCTACTAAATTCCAAGTTTCACGCTAGTTAAGGCACTGAAATAACTGTTTTGAAAGAAGGCAAACACAGTATAAAATGATTTTCAGTATGTTCTCCAAGGTGCAGAAGAAACCTGATGTCTCAAGCCTGCAGCCAGGCCGTTACTCAGCAAGAAAAATGAGGAGAGAAAATCAGTTCCATCCCAAGTCCAACTTTTAGAGCACAATTCCAAAGATTTTCCATGTTGCACAATTTTCCAAACTGCAAACCTCTTTCTTAGACAGCAGGCAAACACTGCTCTTCCAAGTACCACAGATAGTGAGGAATTTACTCCCAAGGGGGTCCATTGTCACCACTGACAATGGTAAAATTGACTCTGAACCTTTGGGCAACTTAGCTCTTCAAATCCAGCATGAAGAACGAAAGTGTTTCCCTTCCACAAGGGCCTAGTGGTCTGCACATACCTAGAGATGTGTGGACTAGCTCTGTTCTCTCTCAGCAGGGCCTAGTGGTCTGCACATACCTAGAGATGTGTAGACTAGCTGTGTTCGCTCTTTGCAGGGTCTAGTGGTCTGCACATGCCTGGAGACATGTAGACTCACTGTATCTTTAATAAGCTCTGCTCAAAACTCATGACATCTCATTCATAAAACATAGTCCCCAAAGTGTTCATCTCTCTATGTTACTAGCACATTGAGATTACCTCTGGCCAGTGCCAGGCTTCATCCAGGGGGAAAGGAATTTTCTACAGATGTCTTTGTGTGTCGTGCTATAATTTCTGTCTGTGTCTGTGTGAATGCATTTACCCTCTATAAGAGTAAAATCCCTCTGGTGCAGTAGAGTTATGAGAGGCCAAGAGCTAATCAGCTGCAACTGAGGGGCGGAATCTTTTCGATGGGCTTTTAAATGGGGGGTCTCAAGAGAGGAAAACATCAGGACAGGGTTCAAGGGGCAGGAGGTGGCCCCTTCTGCAGCGGGGATGACTTTCCCAGTGTTCTGAATGAGAAACTGGGTAGAAATAGCTAGCTAGCCATGAGCGGGCGAAAACAGAAGCACACACGGTGACATCCAGGCCTGCAAGCAGCAGCCACATTCCTTCCACTGTAGGGAGGGCCAGTGGGTCTTTCCCAACCTGCTTTTTGTATTGTTTTGGTTTCTGGTTACTGACGCTTTCTCTACGGTCCACTTAAAGAGAGCAGGAGCTGTAAAAGTCTGTATATATTCCAGAGTGAGTTAGAAAACCTGATGATTCTTCTGTTCAGGTTTAATACCAGGATACATTCTGAGTTAGACGAGTATACAGCTGTACAGAAATATAGTTCAAAGCATGTTCCTCGTGAACGGATACTTTCAGGCAGACCTTATGTACTCAGGGAGAGCTGATAAAGAAAACTGATGACAGAGAAAAAAAGTTTTCATTTCCATTATTGGCTAAGAACTCAGATGGGCTCTTAGCGATGCCGCTGAGACCAGTGATTAGCAGGTAGGCAGCAGCAGCCTGACTCTGCCACACTGCCACCACCAGGACAGCATAGCCCAATTCCATCATCAAGTGCTAAGTCTCTAAACCAGAAAGACAAAAGCAGCAGCCTCTCTTCCTGCCCTGTCCCGGCTGCGGGCCGGGGGTAAACTGCCATTCTGAAGACAGGACCCTTTGATCTAGACTAGGAACCAACACAAAACTCAGAGGAAGATGAACAGTCAGAGGAAACGCCATGCTATTTGAACTAGACAAGCAATGGGTGATTGAGGTGAAAATATCCCTAAGGGGTATGCAAACTGAGATGGCTAAACGAGAGTGGGAACACTACGGTCTGGAAAACCAGTCATTTCATTCAAAGCCCAGTGTAAAGGAAGTTCAGTGCTCAGAAGAAGGAGCTCTTCTCCGGGGAGCAGGCTCGTGTGACCTGTGCACTGCAATCGTTCGGCTGAGTGTGAGGGGTGCGGGACAAATCACTTGCATCATGGAAAGAGAGATGGAAACATAAAAGAAATTGGAAGATTGAGCTCCAGGTCCAGTGTAGTAAAATTCACTAATCTGATTATGATATTTATGAGCTATCATTATTTTCTTAGCAGCCCTGACTGTCCTTTTACTCATTCTTTACAACATGGACTCGTACAAAAGGCATACTTATTCCATAAGGTTTTGCCAGCCGTACACGAAACAGGATTGAACCTCCTAGGCTGTTAGTAATCTTCCAGTACTTCTTTGAGAGCTGGGCCATGACTGACTAATAATTTCCATATCAGTACGATCCATTGTGTCTCACTGGCTTGCAAACAGATATGCAGGATGCTTCTAATTACTTCTGTGTACTAACAGCCCATTTTGGATATACTTTACAGGGAGACAAGATGTCGGCTCCTTTAAAGGAAGGAGCTGGGGTCTGAGTTTTAGATATTTAAAAAACTAGATGATTCCTGTCATTTGGATATAAGAAGAGCTGTCTAGACTTTCTGAGTAGGGCCTAAGTGCCTTGATTGAGTGAGTGCAGCCCTTCACACCCGAGAGGGATATTTTCTTCTTTGTTCAATGTCCCTATACATTAACATTTAGTACCTAAAAGTTCCACGTTGGCCTTGTGCCCTGCTTAGGTGAGCTGGTATCCGATAAATGTAAGCCAGTTTATCAAAATATATACTTGACTTGAACTGTAACAGTTGCAATGGTTCTGAAGCAGCAGCAGCAACAACAAAGAAACCACTAAATAAACTAGAACCCAGTTGATGCCTTTCCATTATTAAATTCTCATCAGTGAGAAAGAAAAAAGAAAAAAAAAAGTGCGCCATTCTTTAAGGTATTATGCTTAAAGAATTGGAGTCTACCAGGAGACCTCACAAGCAATATCCAACTACTGCCATGCACTAACCAAAGGTGGCATGCCAGGAACCACACAGATGAGATGGTAGTGCAAACTAATTCTCTGAGGATGATAGAGAAAATACTAGATTCTGCTTCCAAAACAATTTCCTGAGGTGACCGAGTAGACCACTGGCAACTGAAAACAGCTTGGTCATGGGGTGGAAATATTTAGCACACTGGGCCTAAGGCTACTGCCAAGAAAGGGCCGCAGTCATCATCTCTGCTTCCGAGGTTCCGCTGGGGATACTCTTCCAAAGCCAGCCTCAGAGTGTCATGTAGCAGAAGCAATGCTCCTAGCTTTCGGGTAGAACATCCACTCCATGTTAGAGCACACGGGCCTGCTGAGTACACGTGGACCCCATCACTACCTCTCAACTGCATGCGCACGCAAGGTTGCTGTATTCGCCCCAGCACAAGACGGCCAAAGGAAATCGAGCGCGCCTGAGAACAAGCCCTTCTGTGGTGAACACTCATAGGGGCCTTCTGCTGTTCAGGTTTGTTTTTAAGGTGCCAGGAACTGAAGCTGGGGCCTCACAGAAGCTAGGCAAGCACTCCACCATAAAACTGTGTCTCTATCTCTCCTTTTACCTTTTCTCTTGACCTCGTGATTCTCTTTCGTCAGACCCCCACAGAGCTGGAGAGTCCGCAGGTGGGGGCTGCCCCTGTTCTCTTTTGAACAGCAACAAGGACTAAAGCTGTTTACTTCTGAGAACCCTCCCACCCCGTTTAAACAGTTACTACCAAGGAAACCCTCCTTCTCACAGATGTGAAACTGCACATGGCTGGCTGATCTAAGAGACACTTGACAGTTCCAAGCTGGACATCAGTGCCCTAAAATAGCAACAAAGCTGCAGGGAGGTTACTTGGAGGGTACCGCAGATATTTTTAGAACGAGAGTAAAAAGGTTCTGGGTGTCCAAAAAGTGCCAAGACTGGTGGGGCTGGTGTCCAGGTGCAAGGCTCTGCATGGTACAAATGCCCATGGTAATTTCATAGCCTTGTCGGGGTGTGCCTCTCCCACAGATGGGCAGGAGACAAGGCTGGTTCCCCCGAGCAGGAACGAGACACAGTCCAGAAGCTGCTGTTGGCACAATGAACAAGAATACAGGTCAGAGGGAGGCCACAGAAGAAGCCCCACCTGCTCTGGTGGTCACTTTCAAGAGGTAGCCATCCAGGTCGATGTGGAAGTGGGGCGTGTGGCAGGGCAGCGCAATGCGGGAGCCGTTCCAGCGCACAGTGAGGTGCTGCTGCAGGCTGACGATGCTGTCGCCCAGCACCAGCTCCACAGATTTGGTCCAGGAGAAGGAACGGGTCCGGCGCGCGTCGTTCTTCACCAGTACCTGAAAGGGTGAGGCAGGGGAGGAGCAGTCTTTTGTCAAAACATACTGACAAGTCCCCTGAAAGTTAAATGTCCGTCCGTCAAACGTGTTGTAGTGTGGATCTCCGAATACTGTGCAAACGCCGGGCTCTGCGAATGAGAGAGACCAAAGTAGGGTCACAACCAAGGCAGAGGTGCAGAGAAATCAGAAATTCCTAAAGTTAACCGGCAGCAGGCTTGGGAGGGATTCATTAAAGTAATCAGGGCTTGAAACGGCTGGGTGTTACACAAAGTTTTGTTTGTTTTCCTTACACTTCCCATAGTGTGTTCACATTTAAAGAAGATTCCTAATGCAACAGAATTCTCAGAAGACCTCTCTGCTGCAGCCTGGCGTTCTTCCGTGAGTAACGGAATTGCATAACACACATAAACAAGAAATCAAACATTACATAAACAGCAGCAAAACTATACCACGCGAAAGCTACACTACATGAAAACAAGAAATATCAGTTGTATTTCTTAAGTTGAGATTCTCTCTCTCTCTCTCTCTCTCTCTCTCTCTGTGTGTGTGTGTGTGTGTGTGTGTGTGTGTGTGTGTGTGTGTGTGTGTGCAGCACAGTGTTGCTGAAAAGGCCAAGAAAGACTGTTGGATCTCATGGAGCTGGAGTGATGGAGTTTGTAAGTTGCCCAGTGTACGTTATAGGAACTGATTCAGGTCCTTTAAAATGGGTCCTCTAAAAGAACAGTACATGATCATTTAAAAAATATTTTATCAATTAATTAATTGTTAATTATGTATTTAATTATTTGTTAATTAATTAAATTTTATTGATTAAAATTATTTTATTTTATACTATTGATGCCTTGCCTGCATGTATGTCTGTGTGAGGGTGTCAGAGCCTTGGAACTGGAGTTACAGACAGTTGTGAGCTGCCATGTGGGTGCTGGATATTGAACATGGGTCCTCTGGAAGAGTAGCCAGTGCTGTTAACTGCTGAGCCATCTCTCCAAACCCATAGTTTATGCTCCTAACCACTGAGCCATTTCTCTAGCTCCAAAATTATGTTTCTTATAGTTTGATCCACATGCCAAAATCTAATGTTAAATAATAAAGTAAACTGGAAAATGTGTTAGTACATTTAGCCCCATAGACTCCACACTCTGAAACACAATTAGCACATAATTATGAAAGCAACATAAAGCTTAGTGCTCTGAGGCATCTCAGCAGTTTTATAGGAAATTAAATATTTTTAAGAATAAAAATTGGCAAAGATTTCTTTTCAGGGGAAGGATTTGTTATCTCTTTTTACCAATGCACAAACCACCAGGAAAATGATTTAGTGAAATGGGCCCAAATAAAGAAAGGCAGCTGGGCATAGGCTCGCAGCACAGTGCCCAGGAGGCTGAGGGAAGGAAATGTCAAGGCAGAGGCCAGCGTGGCTGTACAGTGAGACCTCATCTCAGATGAAAAGAAAAACAACATAAGCGAAAGCCGAGCAATTTCCAGCTAACACCAGAACAATCATCAAGTCAAGAACAACCAGGACGAACAACCGGGTCAGGGGTGTAGGACTGACATGGCTGGAAAGGACCAACTGAAGCTCCTGAACCTCCTGAAAGAGACGGCCCAGGCTGTATGAGGTCAGCACCGAGCCCAGAGGAAGCTGGGCTGGCGACAGCCACGGCACTCTGTGCTCCCACAGTCTATGAAGAACAATACTGGTTCAGGATACACTTCATTGCTAGTCTCAGGAGAAGTCATAAAAATTACACATGTTTGGGATTTACAAAATGAATTGCTGTATCTGTCTTTTTGTCTATATCTCTCAGAGACAAAATTGAGAGTTTCTGAAATATAGAAGCATTTCAATAAACAAGAATATCTATAAGGCATCATCATGGCCATGGAAGAATTGGGTGGGTTTGTCCATTTTCATTGTGACCCCAGTTTTATCACTGTTACATGTTGGGTGTACCCCTCACTATCCTAGGTCCCCCAGCTAGTCTCCCCTCACTTGACTTCTCCATAATGCTTATCTCAGTCCTTGCTGCATGGGATGCACTCCAAGTCTGCCTTCTCACACTGGCCCTCACTCTCTAACTAACGGAATCCATTGCTGGTATGAAAGCATTGCTTGTTGACAGGGCGAAGGCGGTGTGCAGCCCAGGAGATAAAGGGTTCAGAGTTAGTACTCCCCTCTCCTATTCTGTACCAAATTTAAGTTTGTTGTTTAGTCTTTAAGGTTCTTGGTCCCACCTACCTGTTCAAATTAGCACAGAACCTGCTGAAGTTCTTAAACCTTCAAGGCTGAGAGAGATGGCCTCGGGTTAGAAAAGCCAAAACACACACTACCAAAGGGACTGGCATTCTGCTTCCATGGGTGTCCCCAAAGCTGTAAACAGGCCTGGGGCTTTCCATGCCTGGCACTACATTCTCTTGTGACCGTTTTACTGCCCCAGTAGCAACTGTGGTTTCTCTTAATGTCCTGATCATTCTGGCAATGAAATGATCATTAATCAAAACATTAGTAACCAAGACTTGCCAAAAGTTCACACCCTGTGGTAGTACTCCTCTGCCTGCCTACTAACAACGGAGGCATCCTGAGAAACTGAAAGATTGTCTCTGAACACTAGACAAACAGTTAAGCATTTCACAGTCGACTCAATAATAAGGGCTGTCATCTAGTTATTGAAAACATTTATGAATGACCCTTAGTACTAAGGAAATGTTTTTGTTGTGTAAGTAAAAAACCAGCAACAATATTCTTTGATTCTGGGATAATTCTGGGATAATCTTAACTATCTTACACACACACACACACACACACACAGCAACCTTTACTTCTTGATGGAACCACAAATGAAACTTTTTATCTTACATCTGTTTTCCTAGTCTTGTTTTGTTTTTGCTGCTTTGCCTTTAACAATGAAGGGTAGATAAAGCCAATTGTGGGACAAAGCAAATCCCAAAAGAAGCAATAGAAACTGGACTACCCTGGTCTGGCCTCAGAAACCCTGAGTTTACTCTTGGCTGAACAAGAAGCCATGAGGGATATGCAGAAGAGACCCAGAAAATGGAAACTGTGTGTGAACAGGCCTGTCAGGAGAGATATTTTTTTTAAGAGTCTTTAATTTGTAGGAGAGAAGAGTTTGGAAGTTGGTATGATTTCCTGTGTGACTGCAATATAGAAGCAGCCAACAAAATTTCAAGACTATGAGGAGGCTTGAGAATTATGTGCTACACGTGGGAACATTCGAATCATGAGCTGAAATCATTGTGAAATTTTGGCCCCTTTTCCTGGCACCCAAAAGTCTTCATGCCAGTTCCCAGAGGAGTGGAGTGAGACACGTGCTGTCAAATTCCTAAGGTAAGATGGCCAGTGTTACAGAAAACTGGGTCCCCAGGACAGAAGCACCCAGACAGTGGAACAAAAGTGAACAGTGCACCCTCCTGGCTATGTTCAGGAGAGCCAGACAAAGGTGCTGCAATCCAAGATGTCCAGATGTCTGGTCACACTATACGGGAAAGCTTGGCTTGTGGTTACGGGGACAGACAGGGAACCGTGGAAACAACTTGTTTGAATGTGCATAAAGCCAGAGATGGGTGAATAAAGCCAGAGATGGAGAAGGACATTCCAGTTTTTCTCTGTGGCACATTGTTTCACAGTCTTAAAGTCAAATCTTTATCTGGGCTTGTGTTGTTGTTACTGTTTATTTTAAATATATGTAAATTAATACATTTGTCCAGAGAAAAAGATCAAAACTTAAAAACTCAAATATTTACATTTTAAAATGATTTAAAAAAATTCTGCTTAAGCAAAAGAATTACACGTGGCATTTCTTTTCTTTTTCTTATGATATTAGTACTATTTAGACTTTCATTTCTTATGCCCTTTCAGAAAGGAATGTCGACTTTAAAACCCAAAATTCCTTCATTAAAATATAGTGCATTAATGAAGCATGTGTATAAAGATTGCTGCCTCTGAACACACGGTCCTGATATTTTCCTCCTAACTGCCTCAGATTGCTTTATTTTACCCTGGATATACATATTTTAATGAAATGCCTTTTCTCTGGGAGCAGTGTTCTCAAAACATCTGTCAAAGACTATTAAGTGAGAACTATAGAATCCCAGGCACAGCGGCAAAAAAAAANAAAAAAAAAAAAAAAAAAAAAAAAAAAAAAAAAAAAAAAAAACCAAGAGAATCTGGGTAGACACTAGTCTAGCTTTTTCCCCAAACAACAAAACAAAGCAGAAAAAGTGCAAGAAAGAAACAAAAGCCCCATTCGTGTTCTGTCAGCAAGCAGTAAGCAGTGTCTACAGATCTGGGGGTGTGTATATGTTTATTTTCACAGAGTTAAGACAACTCTGTACATGAAATTTTATTTCCCATATTTCACTTAACATGTCATAAGATTTCCTCAGCCATTCAAGCATGTTTTCCTTTGAAAACCCAGAAGGGAATTTTCGCCTCAGTTCATTACGGCTGCAGAGAGGGAGGTCTCTCCAGCACCTCGCGTGGGGATCAGCACGTTTCCGGAGGGGCATCCTAACCACACATAAACATGGCTTTAAACATTTCTGGGCACAAGCTTCAGGGAAACAGGGCCTGCAGGACTCTGGGCCACGGAGTCCTGCTGAGCCGCTGGGACTTTAGTAGGGTCAGAGATGCTGAGATGCCAAGTCTTGGGCAAGATGCAGGAAAGGCGGGGATTAGAAATACTGCCTGAGACACGAGCCAGCTGCTCTTTGCTGAGCTGACTTCTGACCATAGTAGAGTCTGGAAAAAAAAAAAAAAAGCCCCCAGTGTCTCCTGCATGCAAGAGCTGTGGCCTTGCACAAGGTGTCAGTGACAGCTGTTAGCCCACAAGGCACATGAGAGTCAACAGATGCTCCACCAGGTGGCACCTGGATGCCTGGAAGCATTTGCACGTCCTCTAACTTTCCTGTAAGGGGTGGCAAGGGAAAGGGGTGGTGGTTCCATTCCCATCAGAGACAGCAACGGGTCTTCATTAAAAAAGAAAACACCCTGGGTTTTTAAAAACAGTGACATAGGAATTTTCTCATATGGTCTCATATGGAAATTTGTTTCCCCATATTTCCGTAACTACATGGACTCACGAATTTATTCCCTAACTTCAAAAAATCA